GGGGGCCCGAGAAGCCTCGGGGGTTCGGGGGAGGAAACAAACCAGAGCTGGGGGTTTTCATTAAAAAATAGTGCTCTTTATTATAAATTATGGAAACCTCTCCTTTCTGAATATAAATATAAATATGTGCAAAGTCTCATCTGAGTTTTGTTTTGGTTGAATTTTCAAGCATGGTTTTGCTCAGCCCTCAAGGCTGGAGGTGAAGATGGAATCTTTATAAAAGACAGTGATTCACGTTGGCCTGTAAACATCCCTTTGGTTAAAAAAAAAAAAAAACAAAAAAAAAGCCAGAAAAACCCAACTGCTTCTCCAGGCGGACACAGAAAAGCACTCTCGGGACGACGTGCTCCAGGGGATCCTCCCGCCCCGCGGAGCAGCGTGGACAGGCTCCATGGGGAGTGGCCGGGCAGAGGTGGGGTGTGATACTGGGGAACAACGGTCCAGCGGCAGCACCGGGTCCCGGGGTGCTCCCTGCAGATGCGGTCGCGCGGGACTCTCGGCAGTGTCAGGACACACTCCTTCCTCTCCAGCTTTGCAGCACGTCACCAGGACCATCATCACACGGCGTCACCAAACGATGTGCAGTAACCCAGACCACGGGACAGGGAGAAGATTAAGGCTTAGTCCCCTGGAAAATGGCAACGAGGAGAAAAAGGCAGCGACCTCCAAGTCTGGGGCCTGGTGTGAAAGGAGCTTCCACCCATGAGGAGGCAGCAAGAGGTAAAGTACAGTACGGGCAAAAAACACCTTCCCCTTAAAACCGAGGAAAAGCGATCAGGCACTAGCAGGACTCCAGCGCGTTCCGTTCCCGGGGGGCAGGAGGGGGCTCTCGCCAGGACACCCCCAGGCGTGGTCCCACCGCGGCGGTGGGGATGCAGCTGCCAGGGCACACGTTCCCCTGTGCCGTGGGTGCCATCCTGGCTGCCGGAGCCCGCGGGGGCTTTGCTGATGGACCCTCCCCGGCTGGGACAGGGCAGCCGCCCGCTGGGTGCACTGGAACAACCAACGTCGGACCGGTTCGACCT